ATATATATATATATATAAATATAAATATAAAATCAGTGTATCCAAAGGGTAAAATCTCTGTCTTCCTCCCTTCCCCCCATCCTAAACCAAACCTACTGCCATTGAGTCGATTCTGACTCATAGTGACCACCATTGGATTTCCAGGGTGGTAAATCTTTACGGAAGTAGATTGTGGCTTGCATCATCTTCCTTCCACAGAGTGGCTGATGGGTTTGAACTACCAATCTTCTGGTTAGCAGTCAAATGTCTTAGGCACTGTGCCACCAGAGCTCTTTTCCCCCCATCCAAGGGGAGCTCAAATTCTCCCATTCTTATGGTAGGAGTAAGATAAGTGTGAGGAGCCCTGGTGGCACAACAGTTAAGAGCTTGGTGAAACATTCAGCTGGAAACCAAAAGGTTGGCAGTTTGAACTCACCCAGTGGCTCCACAGGAGAAAGCCCTGGCAATCTGCTCCCATAAAGATTGCAGCCTAGAAAACCCTATGGGGTGGTTCTGCTCTGTCTTGTGGGGTCGCTATGAGTCAAAAATAAACTCGAAGACACTTACCAACAAGATAAATCTGAGTTTGGCATGGAGGCCCGGGGAGGATGTGGGGATGGTAGGTTCAAGGAGGAGATATCACACAGCCTGGCTCCTCTGGTCTTACTTCCGGTCTCTGGTTGGGGGCAAGGACTGTCCGTGGCTCCGCCTCTCTCTTCTCCCAGCCTGGGCCATCCAGCAGCACCTGTGGGTGGACATGCCTGCACATACCTGCGTTTAGGCTTCTGAAATTGGGCTTTGTGGGGCTCTGCACCTGTATCTGGGAGGAAGTAAAGGGGTCGCTTTAAAAATTGGTTGTATTTCTTTCATTATAAAAGCAGTCTCAGCTTGTAGTAGTCCAAAAAAAAATCATTTGTAATTCTGCTAATTGCTACCAGAGATAGTTTTTAACATAACGATGGACTTCCTCTTGCCCTTTTCTTTACCTTGTTTTTGGTTCTGTATATGTGTTTCATTGTGGTTGAGCTCATTTTACATAGATGGTTTTGTATTGCCTTTATTTGACCTAGCATAGGAAGCAATTTTCTTTCATTATGTAGGTTTAGGGTTTTTTGTTTGTTGGTTAATCTGGAATAAAAACTTAAAAAAAAAAATTGTAAAAATACCTCTATATTTTGAAGCATGTACCAATTCACCATTGGCTAAGACATGGGAATGATTTTTTTCTTGACCTTTTAACTGAAGAATGTCACAGACACAATAAGTATACAATTCAGTGATAACAATTACATTAATCATGTTGTACAACTGTCACCCATAATCGTTACCGTTTTTTGTTTGTTTGTTTTTGCACTTTTATCAAAGTAATAATGTGTGCATAGTTCAGAAAGTCACACAGTATTATTAGGCTTGTCAGGAAAAGAGCAAGCTGAGCCCCATCCCGTCTCTATGGCAACTACTTTCAACTCTCAGCTCTTTCCTCTGAGGTTGACTTCTTTATTTCTAAGTAATATTTTCTTCACTGCTTTTTTTTTTTCCCTTTTTAATATTTGAGATTTAGATATTTCCTATGGAAAACTGAGGCCACAGCTCTCTTGTACCCTTGCTTCCAAAATACTTAACCACCAATTTTGCATAAATTACTGTGTGGATCTATTTTTTACAGCTGAACCATGTATGATTACATTTATTACATAGTTTATACAAACCTAATTTTAATTCCATGATATTCCATTAATTTAATTTTTTGTTCTGTTATTAGTAAGTCTGAAAAATCCTTGCACACAAAGCTTTTTATATATATAACATTTTTCTTAGGCTAAATTTCTAGTTACTAAATTGCTGAGACATGGGAATGAATTATTATTTTTTTTTTAGGGAATGAATTATTTTTTCTTAACTTTTAATTGAAGAATATCACACACAGTTAAGTGGGTTGTTATTGTCAAATTGACACTGGGTCAGTTTGAAATGCGAACCTTTTGGTTAGCAGCCAAGCAGTTAATGTTATCTTTGATGTACTGCTCAGTGAATCTTTATATATGTGTAGGCCATGTAACCACCTTCCAGATGCAGTCAAGATACAGGATGTTTCCATTATTCTGAAGGTTCCTCATGTTCCTTCTCAGCCTTAGACAATATCCGTATCCCCACACTCCCTGCCCCAGCAGGATAACCTCTTTTCTGGTTTCTGTCACCATCAGTTGTTGTTATGTGCCATCGAGTCGGACCTGACTCATAGCGACCCCTGCTTGGGTTTCTGAGGCAGTGTCACTATGGAAGTAGATTGTCCAACCTTCCTTCCGAGAAGTGGCTGGTGGGTTTGAACCGCCAGCCTTGTGGTTAGCAGTCAATGCCTTAGGCACTACGCTACCAGAGCTCCTAACCCCATCAGTTAGTTTTGTGTATTCTTGAACTGAGAACGGACATTGTAAAGATTCTTGATGCACAGGCAGTGGACATCACTTTGAGACATGTGACTTCTAACCACTCCTTTCTCCGGATACAGCCTGTAGTCATCTGTGTGACACTGGTTGTAGCTCCTTCAAGGCAGGAGACAGCTGCTACCTGCCTAGGCCTAGATAGGCATCAGCTGCCTGGAGGATGATGGGTAGTGCCCCAGGTCCAGGGTGGGAAGGAGTATCTTAGGAATGGACTTCAATAAATGACTTGTTTTACCAGGCCCAGCCACAGCCACAGCCACAACCCCAGCCACAGTCCCAGCCTCAGTCCCAGCCACAATCCCAGTCCCAGCCACCGTCATCCAACAAGCGTCCCAGCAACAGCACACCGCCCCCTACACAGCTCAGCAAAATCAAGTACTCAGGGGGGCCCCAGATTGTCAAGAAGGAGCGACGGCAGAGCTCCTCCCGCTTCAACCTCAGTAAGAACCGGGAGCTGCAGAAGCTTCCTGCTCTGAAAGGTACGTAGGGGGCAGGCAAGGAGGCTGGTACACTGGGACTGAGAGACATTGGGTGTTGTAGTGGGGTATTTTAGGGGGAAAGGAATTCTAGAGAATGTGAGAGGTGGTTCCACTGGGGCTAGGGGTTCCCATGGGAACAGGACAGTGAGAGGGTGCGCTGAGGGAAAGCCCTGTAGGTCAGTAGGGCATCATAGTCAAGGGCTGGGGAGGAGAACCTGACTGTTGCTTACCCCCACCCCTCTTCAGATTCGCCAACCCAGGAGCGGGAGGAGCTTTTTATCCAGAAGCTACGCCAGTGCTGCGTCCTCTTTGACTTTGTGTCAGACCCACTCAGTGACCTCAAGTTCAAGGAGGTGAAACGAGCAGGACTCAACGAGATGGTGGAGTACATCACCCACAGCCGTGACGTTGTCACTGAGGCCATTTACCCCGAAGCTGTCACCATGGTGAGAAAGCTGAAAGGAAGCAGGGATAGGGCACTCTGGAGAAGCCCACTGGAGCTCTAACATGGGCCTTACCCCTCAGTTTTCAGTGAACCTCTTCCGGACGCTGCCACCTTCATCGAATCCCACGGGGGCTGAGTTTGATCCAGAGGAAGATGAACCCACCCTGGAGGCAGCCTGGCCCCATCTCCAGGTACCGGGGCAAGGAGCAGTCTGGTTCTGGCTACAGGAAAGGGGGACACTCAGACCTGCAGCAAAGGGGCATCACCCAATCCTGGGGAATCCCTCTAAGCAGATGCTTCTTTTCCTCCCACAGCTCGTGTACGAGTTTTTCTTACGTTTCCTTGAGTCTCCTGATTTCCAGCCAAACATAGCCAAGAAGTATATTGACCAGAAGTTTGTCCTTGCTGTGAGTTCCTCAATCCTGCCCCTCCCCTCTCCTTCCATCATGAACTCCAGCCTCACGCCTTCCTCACCCTCCCCGCCCCCCGTGCCAGCTGCTCTTTCTCCTTATGCTGAGCATATAGGGTTTCAGCCTTGTTGCATATGGGGAGATTATGGGGGTTAAAAAGACTGACTTTGTGCTCTTAAGAAGCTTACATAAAAAATGGAGGAACAAAAAAGCAACATAGTACCTCTCCCCACTTACCCGGCTATGTAAACATGTATACTTAGATGTCATATGGGTACAATCACGCTGCTTCACAGAGACTCGCCCCACAGCTCCTCCCCAGACAACCCCTAGGCATCTTCTAGTTAGGACCCTGCCACCCCCACCCCAGCTTTCCCAGGCTCCTGCCTCACTCACTGCTTCCCCTCCCTCCCAGCTCCTGGACCTCTTTGACAGTGAGGATCCTCGAGAGCGGGATTTCCTCAAGACCATCCTGCATCGCATCTATGGAAAATTTTTGGGCCTCCGGGCTTATATCCGCAGGCAGATTAATCACATCTTCTACAGGTGAGGTTAGGAGCCCAGGCTTAGGAACAAAGCAAGCCTCCCTCAGGCTGGGTGGGAGGAGGGATCTAGGGGGAACTCTGCAGCCAGCACAGTGCTGGAGGGACACCAGAGGAACCCTTCTGTCCCCTTAGGTTCATCTATGAGACGGAGCATCACAATGGGATTGCCGAGCTCCTAGAGATCCTGGGCAGGTAAGAGGTGGAATGGGGGACAGGTGCCTGAAAAGCTTGGGAGGACCAGTGCACTGAGCTTGAGCCCTTGGGTCCTAACAAACCTCCCTCAACTCCCAGCATCATCAATGGCTTTGCCCTGCCCCTTAAGGAAGAGCACAAGATGTTCCTTATCCGTGTCCTGCTTCCCCTTCACAAGGTCAAGTCCCTGAGTGTTTACCATCCCCAGGTGAGCCACTTTCCTCCTGATGATGCCTGACTCAGGTAGCAGGGAAAAGAGGAGGAAGGGAAGGGAGTGGCTGGGGTCTTATTTCTGTGACTGACCTCTTTGAGACCTTTGGGACCTGCACCTCACCTCTTTTCCTCCTCAACCTTTTGTAGTTGGCATACTGCGTGGTACAATTCCTGGAGAAGGAGAGCAGTCTGACAGAGCCGGTAATTCCCCTCCCATGCCCCAGGGTCCACCTCTTACTGTCACAGGCATCACTTGTCAGTCTGTACCTATTGAGCAATGCTATAAATAGGCATTCAGGAGGGATGTGGCCTGACAGGTGACATGCTTTCATCTCTGAAGAAGTGGAACTCATATATACACAGGAAACAGATCCAAGCCAGAGAAACACAGGCAGGCAGCTGAGGCCACCCCAAGCTGTGCCCACAAGGGCTGGGGAGAGGTCAGGACGGCTTCTTGGAGGACAGAGCAGGTACTGAGAATCTTATCCCCATGTCCTCCTCTCCTTACAGGTGATTGTGGGACTTCTCAAGTTCTGGCCCAAGACCCATAGCCCCAAGGAGGTGATGTTCCTGAATGAGTTGGAGGAGATTCTGGATGTCATTGAGCCTTCAGAGTTCAGCAAAGTGATGGAGCCCCTGTTCCGCCAGCTTGCCAAGTGTGTCTCTAGCCCCCATTTCCAGGTGAGACTTAAGACTCAGCCTATCCCAGGCCCTGCCTCCCAGAAACTGAGAGTGTCTTCAGAGAAGCTAGCAATGCCCCTACTGAGTCCCACCTCTTCTCATCAGGTGGCAGAGCGCGCCCTCTATTACTGGAACAATGAGTACATCATGAGCCTGATAAGTGACAATGCTGCCCGTGTCCTCCCCATCATGTTTCCTGCACTCTACAGGAACTCTAAGAGCCACTGGAATAAGTAGGGAGCTGGGCTGGAGCTGGGAGGTGGGAGCCGGGTTTCAGAACCTTTAAGGGTGTGGAATAAAGAGCCAGGGCTATAACGTGGTCACTCAGCAAGTGGAGCTGGTGCCACTGCATGCTGATAGGACCCTGGAGGCATCTTTTGCCCATGCGTTACCCCACTTGTTGAAGTCAGATATTCTGTTGGCCATGTCATAGCTCTGGAGACGTAATTCCATGCTGTGACATGATGCCATTCCTTTAGAGGGTATATGTAAAGTTTCCTGAGCTGTAAAAATGTTTCCCTGCTAAAAGCAAGCTCACGCAGTCCATCACCTTGCTGGGAGCCCATTAGAGTGGGTTAGAGTGGGAAGTGGTGGGAAGGACCTATGCCTTGGAGCACTGGGGGTGCGGGTGGGGGTATGGACAGGTGGACCAGTATTTGTAAAAGCCCTGAAATGCTAATCTCAAATCATAAGTAATTTGACGTGGCTACAAACATGAGTGCATGCCATCCAGAGGTTAGTGAGATAGGAGGGGTAAAAGAGAATGCTTTTAGCAGAGATGCCTCCTAGGAGATAGCAATTGGGGTCCTGGCTGAGGGCAGGCTCTGGCCACCTGTGCCTCATCTTTTTCTTCCTGGTGGCAGAACAATCCATGGACTGATCTACAATGCCCTTAAACTGTTCATGGAGATGAATCAGAAGCTTTTTGATGACTGCACACAGCAATACAAGGCAGAGAAGCAAAAGTCAGTATCTCCATCTCTCCTGGGAGGTTCATCTTCTGTGCCCAGCTCCCTTTGCGTCTCTACCCCAACCCTACCTTTGCTCTTGGTCCTGCTTCCTCAGGGGCCGGTTCCGAATGAAGGAGAGAGAAGAGATGTGGCAAAAGATCGAGGAGTTGGCCCGGCTTAATCCCCAGGTGAAGTTTCCCAGCCACAGCCTTGAACTGAGCGGACCATCTTGGGCTGGGGGTTTGTTTGAGGAGGAACATGAGGTAAATGGTCACACAAACCTCTAAAGGGAGTCTCCCTACCTGTCCCTGCCTCCTCTCCCTCTCAGTATCCCATGTTCCGAGCTCCTCCACCACTGCCCCCCGTATACTCGATGGAGACAGAGACCCCTACAGCAGAGGACATCCAGCTTCTGAAGAGGACGGTGGAGACAGAGGCCGTGCAGGTGGGAGAGCGTGGGGGTGGGGCCAAAATGAAATACAGCTCTAGCAGGGAGAGGAGTCAGGAGCAGCGGCGCCAAAGAATAAAGGGAAATAGCATTAGTTGGTGCTTGGTCTTATTTCTCACCTTCTCTCTAGATGCTGAAAGACATCAAGAAGGAGAAAGTGCTGCTTCGGCGGAAGTCAGAGCTGCCCCAGGATGTGTACACCATCAAGGCACTGGAGGCACACAAGCGGGCGGAAGAGTTCCTAACTGCCAGCCAGGAGGCTCTCTGACCCCCTCACCTTCCCACCACAGGGCCACAGCCCACTTAGCCCTGGAAAGCTGCCCCAGCCCTCCACCCTCTGCTCCCCACTGGCTGACTTGGGGCAAGGCAGTGCCTCTCTATCTACTCTAGGGTGAAGGATGCAGGCACCTGAAGCAGGGAAACCCACATGGTATTCCCTCCTCTCCCCTAAAATGTGTTCATGTCTCCCTGTGGCTAGTGCCGACAGGTTGAGCTCTCAGATGCTCAGACAACCTGGGGATGCCTGGCCCCCTCCTGCTCCTCACCCACAGCTACCTAAAGCTGCTCTTGGAAACACACAGGAATACATAGCCCCTCTCTTCCCTTCACCCTCATCTGAGCTCCCAGGTGTCTGTCCTTCCCTGCAGAGGTATGTAGGGAGTAGCAGGAAATTCTCACCAAAGTTACGTCAAGCCCCATTGGCTCCTGGAGAGAGTAGCTGGAGGAGCACCCAGCCCCAATAGCACAACTAAGCCCTCGGCCCCAGCAGTGTGCAGGCTGACAGGGATGTACTATTTCCTCTTTCCCCCCTGCCTGATAGAAACAAAGAGTATGGGGAAGTCAGAAAAATACAGGCTGTGGACAATAGGTGATGAACACAGGGCCCCAGATGGACCAAGGGGGTTGGTAATGAACAAACTCCCTGCCCTTTCCCCCTTTTTGGTGAGCAGCAGCCCCAGGAGCATAGACATGGACGGGACCACCCTGGGGCTGACTGCTGTCCAGTGCTCTTGGAAAAAAGCAAGAGGGAAACAGGGAGCAGTGCCCCAAGCATGGCTCTATTTATTTCCTCGTTTGTGCTGATGCTGGGCAGGCCCTCACTTGTCCCTTTCAGGCACCTTGGCAAGTCAAGGGGCTGAGGAGGGCTGGACCTGGGTTCCAGGGCACAGGCAGTGCGCCTTTTGGCTGTGTACATAGGGTGCTTTATTCTCCACAGAGCGATACATGCTAAGGTGGGTTGGGTTTGAGCCGATGTCCCCATATGTACAGAATAAAGTGGGTCTCTGAGAAGAAGTCTGATTTGCCTTGATGTGGAAAGAGAGGTGGGAAAGATGGAGATGGATATTAAAACCAGGGCTGTGTTCAGTTTTGTGCTGCTTCTGGTCTGGAATACAGGGTGATGAGGCAGCTCTCAGCGTTGTCACTTCCAGGCTGGTGATGCCTGCCGGGCTTGGAGGGCCTTCTGTACCACATCTTCCCACTGAGCATCTGAGATCTCCTGTGCCCAGGCAGGAACCCCTGGCGCAGGCAGGCTTATTCCAGCCATTGTCCTTTTCACCAGCTCAACGTGTTCTGAAATCAAGCCAAGAAACAAGTTAGAGAATAGAAACAGTGAAGCAGCTCTCTTCCCCACACCTGGAATCCACCCAGAACCCTTGAGCTGGCCACCAAATTCATCTTATTTCTAGGCAAACCTGCCCTTTTTTGAAGTCTAGTAAAATAGCATTTTGCCTGGATGCTGAGGTCTGCAAAATCTTTGGTTATAAACTCTTTAGAACAGAGTCTTCCTCTGAGAGCCAGTCCCTTTCCTCCATAATTATTCCAGATTGAAACGGTGTCTTTCACCTGGGTCCATGGGAATAGAGCTGTGGCTGCTCAATGCTGTGGCTCCCTCCTCTTCTTCATCTTCACTTTCTAATGGAGGGTCTGGCAAATGCAGCCCCAGGGCCTGCAGAGCCAGAGAGAAGGCAGTTCCCAGACCAGGCCTTCAAGGGCTCCCAACCTCACCTGCTCAGGTACATTTCCTCCCCCACCATACCTGGATCCGTTCCTGGATGTCAGCAACTACATCTTCTCCATCCCCGACAGGTGCCAATTCCACTTCCTCTTGTTCAGGATCTTGGTTCAGGGGCTGGTAAGAGTAACCAGTTGGGCCTGCCCCGGCTTCCTCCTGCTCTTCCTCCTGCTCCTCACTGCTCCAATCCCCAGTGCCTTCTGTGGGGCCCACGTGCGGCCCCAGTTCCTCAGTCTGGTTGGGGAAGATACGCTCTGGGCCCATGGTGTCTCCCCCTAGAACTACTGCTGCCATCCGGGGCAGGCGCTGCAAGAACAAGAAGGCAGGGAAACAGGAGTCGAATATAACAGCCCACCTTCAGCCACTCGCCATCTCCTTACGGTCTCCTCCTGAATGCATTAAATGTTAATGCCCCCCAAATTTCGGCTCTTAATCCTCCACCTCACCTTCTGCGCTCCCCCGTCCCCCCTTGGCCACCCATCTCTTAAGGCAGCCTCGCTCCAGCAATTCCTAAATAAACAGCCTAAGTCCCCACCACCTCCTCAAAGACACTCCTCCCAGCCCATCGATCAGGTCGACAGACTCCCCTAAATAAGTGCGTCCCCGCCCCCTTCTTCCCTCTCCTACGAGCACTTCTCTACCGCCTGACAGACTCCCTTCAGCACCCAGGGGCTCCCCTCAAATGGCTACAGCTGCGGGGTCTACCACCCGATCCCACGGAGTCTTGGTGATGTTGTCTCCGCGAGCCTCACCCGCTCAGAGCCGGCGGTGGAATCCGCACCTTCACTTCCGGCCAGACAGGACGTGCTGGGGCACAAAGTCCTCCAGCCCTGCCCCATGCTCATGATTGACGCGAGCAGGGGCCAACAGTTTGCCTTTTGCTCAGCCGCTGTCATTCCTGCTCGGAAAACAAAGGACTACGTTACCCAGTGACTCCTACGGCCTTGACACTGATCTACATGTGCAGAATCTTTCTTCCAGCTTCTGCCCAGTCTTTTGCTCTACCCGTCCCTCCGGAAACCTGTGGACTACAAGTCCCAAGAAGGCATTTTATCTCCGACTGCACGCGCGCACACAGCTGCCCGCCGGAAGGACAGAGCCTGGATGTGTTTATTTCGTTGGGCACCGAGGCGTCGGTTGGGGCGCAACGGGTTCTAGGCTGCAGGCAGCGCGAGACCCGCGGCCCCGCCCCGGCCCGGCCTGGCAGGTAGCCCAGGATGGGTTGAGGGATCAGGAAGAATTGGGAGGGCTGGGACGCCCTTGGCTAGAGCTGAATGATGGGGGAGGGGTCTGAGTGTAGTTAGGTTGGGGGTGGGGAGGGAACTGTGGGGGGGATGATGGGAAAGGAGTGTTAATGAAGGAGAAGAGCTGGGAAGGATAGTGGGGAAAGAAGTGGGAGAGACCTGGTGACTTGCAGGAGGCACTGAAGGGAATTGCAAGCAAGACTAGGTTATGAGGAGAACCAAGAAGCAGAGCATAATGGAAAAAGGGGCTCTGGCGTTGTGGGGGAGGGGAAGCTGGGATGGTAGAAACCAGACAAGGATGGTTTCAGATTCAGGGAGGAATAACCCTGGCCAGAAGGGGCAAATGAATGGTATTGTTTTTTCTGTGATTGGAGAAGGAAAAACACAAGGATTGTGGGGTGGAGCTTGGAATGGTGGGAGAAGAGGAAAGGGGAAAATTAAATTGTAAAGCTCTCAGAAGATCAAGAAGGGACAGAACTGGGGAGTGAAGGTTGCAGGAGACCAGGGAGGAGGGTAGGTATATGAACGAAATCCAAAGAGTTTGAGAATGTGGCAGTGATGGAGGAAGGGGAAGAACCAGAGTTAAGAGGAGGCCATGAGACCCTTGGGCTTGTTTTCCGTGAGCTTAAGTCATCTTTTCTTTCTCCATCTTTGGAATTGTTTATCTCTTCCCCTGTAAATTCTTTATGTTGCAGTGGGAAGTAGAAGCTATGAGAGAAGGTTAGTTTCTCCCATTCTTAAGGTTTTGAACCTCCTGTCTGTCCCCTCCAGCCTAGATCCAAAATATTTTGCATTGAAGGTGGGAGTAGCTTTCTACTGGGCCTATTTCATGTTGGGCTGAGTGGCTATTTAAAGCATGGGGTGAGGGGTTGGGGGAGGTTGGGTGGTTTGGGCTGGCAAGCTAGCTGAAGGCAGCCTCTCTGTCCTGCAAGAGGCCTCCCTTATTGGAGCTTTCTCTGTGTCTGGTGTTCTGCTGGCTCTTCTCGCTTCCAGGACTTCTTGAACAGGGAGCAGATGATCTACCCAAACCCAGCAGGTGCCTCCCAGCAAGGGCAGTGCCAAGTTGCAGGAGGAGTTGCCTGACAGAGCCCTCAAATGTATCCATTATTATTAGGTTGGCAGGTTGTCTTTGAGAGACCATGACCTTTCATTCTGGGTCTCATTCTTGTCTTGGCCAAGGACATTTTGCTTCTCTTCTCCTTTCCAGTGCACCCCATCCCCCTTTCAGGAACCCAAGTGAGAGAAGAGCTGCTGGAAACAGTTTGTACTCTACCACCACAATAACAGGTCTGGGGAAGAGGCAGGAGAAGAGAAGCCCTTCTTCTCACCCCACTAATCCCCAGCAGACACATACCTTTCTGGCTTAAGTTCCTAGTCTTGGCAGCACACCAGGCACAGCTGTTAAAGGAACTCTTCATGCCTGTGGGGGGCCCTGCGTGACCCCGATGACAACAGCTCAGCTTGACCGGAGCTCACCTTGAGGGGCTAACCAACTGTAGTAATGTGGAGGTCCCCGACCTGGGTCAGTCCCGCCCCATCCTGGGTAGGGGGACTGTTCACTCTAAAAGCCTGAAAGCTTTAATGCTTAGAAGCACTCATGCCAGCTTTCATGCTGTCTGGGGTTGGCTGGGCTATTAATAGCTCTGAGTATTTTGAGATCCCTTTCCCCACTTTAAAGAGCACAGAGATTCTTAGAGAGGTGGCAGTAAGTGGAACGGAGCTAAAGAGGCAAGAAAAGGCACCTGGCTTGGGAAGGGGGCTTGGAGCTCACACCAGGCCCAAAACAGGGTGGAGCCCTCTGGGTAAGGGGCCACCATGCTGAGTCCAGGGATCAGCAGATTCTGAGCTGGCCAACAATCAGGTCAGAGTGGCCCCACCCCTTGTTGTTGGAGAACACCAGGGCTAAGGCTAGCTGCCTGACCTCCACAACTCCCCTGGAGCAAAGTCAGCCACCTGGGTGGTAACTGGTGTCCCTGCAAAGGGTTGGTGTGGGAGGGTCACAGTGTGACACTTGGAGGCAGGGGTTGGTCCTATGCAGAGTCATGGTGAGTAGGGCAGAGGCATTGCCTTAGGAGCCCATGTCTCTGACTTGTGTGTAGATAGCAGAGGCAGCAGGCCGTGCCGGGGGGCCATGTTGCTGTAACCAGTGGCCCAGGGGATGTTACGGTGGACAGTGCACCTGGAGGGCGGGCCCCGCAGGGTGAACCATGCGGCAGTGGCTGTTGGGCACCGGGTCTACTCCTTCGGGGGTTACTGCTCTGGTGAAGATTATGAGACACTGCGTCAGATTGATGTGCACATTTTTAATGCAGGTAAGCCATTGGCAGGGCCACTCCTGGGCACTCACAGAAGGGAGGCAGCTGGTGGCTGAATGAGTTTTAGTATTGGTCCCTGTGGCCAGGGGGATGGAGGAACAAATATCTGGTTTGGGAAAAAGTGGACAGCCTGGAAGTTCTCAGGGCTGAGCAAAGCTGTGCCCACAGTATCGTTGCGTTGGACAAAGCTGCCACCAGTGAGGCCTGCCACCCGCGGACAGGCTCCCGTGGTACCCTACATGCGGTATGGACACTCAACTGTCCTCATCGACGACACAGTCTTCCTTTGGGGCGGGCGGAATGACACCGAAGGGGCCTGCAATGTGCTCTATGCCTTTGACGTCAGTGAGTATGATCTTGAGAGGCTGTGTTCTGCCGAACGGTGTCTCGGGCTGGGAAAAGTGTGGGCTGGGGGAAGGCTGGGGAATAGGGTACCCCAGAATTTAGGAGGACATGTTGGAGGTTGCTTACCTGGGCCATCTTCTCATCTCCTCAGATACTCACAAGTGGTCTACACCTCGAGTATCAGGAACAGTTCCCGGGGCCCGGGATGGACATTCAGCTTGTGTCTTGGGCAAGACCATGTACATTTTTGGAGGCTACGAGCAGCTGGTAGGTTTGGGAAGAAAGTAGAGTTTTAGGGTGGGAATGAGAAAGAGGAAAGGGAATTGATGATTGGAATGGGAGGCTTTGGCTTATTTGTGGGTTTTGAAGGGTGGAACAGAGGCCAGGAAGTAACCATTGGTCCCTTCTTTTATTCCTCCTTTCACTTCTCTTCTTCCTTATCCCCATTCAGGCGGACTGTTTTTCTAATGACATTCACAAGCTGGATACCAACACCATGATATGGACTCTTATCGGTACAAAGGTCTGTCCTTTTTTCTTTCTCCCAGACCCCTTCCCTCAATTGAAGAAATCACAGGAAGCTCAAATTAAGCAGATCCCCTCCTAACATCCTGCTGACCCCTTCCTGCCTTCTTGCTCTGCTCTTATCCAGGGCAACCCTGCACGTTGGAGGGACTTCCATTCAGCCACCATGCTGGGCAGTCACATGTATGTCTTTGGGGGACGTGCTGACCGCTTTGGGCCATTCCATTCCAACAATGAAATTTACTGCAACCGCATCCGCGTCTTTGACACCCGGACCGAGGCCTGGCTGGACTGCCCACCCACCCCAGTGCTGCCTGAGGGGCGCCGGAGCCACTCAGCCTGTGAGTGTCTGTCATCTCTCTGCTGAGTCCCCCTTTCTACCCATTGTCCTCACCCCCTTGTTTCTCTCCTCCAGTTGGTTACAATGGGGAGCTCTACATCTTTGGTGGCTATAATGCAAGACTGAACCGGCATTTCCATGACCTCTGGAAGTTTAACCCTGGTAAGGAGCACCACCTTTAGGGGAGGAACAAGGAGCAGATGAGGTGGGAGAGAAAGAATAATCCTGATACAGGTGAGGGGTAAAGAAGGTAAAAAGGATAACTGGACTAGGTAGATACTGAGCCTCCTCTTCTCTTTAGTGTCCTTTACCTGGAAGAAGATAGAACCGAAGGGGAAGGGGCCGTGTCCCCGCCGGCGCCAGTGCTGCTGTATTGTTGGTGATAAGATTGTCCTCTTTGGGGGTACCAGGTTAGGAGAAGAGAGGGGAGGGCTCAGGAAAGGGCCTGTATCTGCAACCAACATGAGGGTGATAGGTATTTGAGCAAGAGGATTTCGTGGGTAGTGTCTTCTTCCTTCAGCTCTCTCTTGATCCCTACAGTCCATCTCCTGAGGAAGGCCTGGGAGATGAGTTTGACCTCATAGATCATTCTGACTTACACATTTTGGATTTTAGTAAGTATGCTTATTCCCAAAGTGCTCCTGTCATTGGGGTTCCTCTCTTAAGGCAGTGACACCCAAGACTGGGCCCTTTCCTGGCTTTGACCATCTTCCATTCCCCCTTTCCCCTCTTAAAGGTCCTAGTCTGAAGACCCTGTGCAAACTGGCCGTGATTCAGTATAACCTGGACCAGTCCTGTTTGCCCCATGACATCAGGTATAGCATGTGGTTGGGAAGGAGGGACTGGTTTAGGATAAGTGAGGCAGCACAGGTATGACCTGGTTAGCTTGGTCTCAGTTTTTGTTCTGCTGGAGGTATAGTATGCTTATGGGCAATGAGATGGAAGGAAATGAAGTTAAACCCATCATGTAATTAAACCGCCTGCTGATAAATTACAAGTTTCCCCACTATCTGAAAGTTGAATGTTCCTATGAAACCTTTGTAAGCTGAAGTGGCATAAAGCAGTTACCATTCATTTACATGGGACCCAAACAAATAACCTACCAAATCATACCAAATAACACATAAAACCTAAAGTAACCTTAACATAGAGTGTTCACAGACACAGTTCAGGGCTGTGGTGGCTTCATACTGAGATGCTGAATGTGGTTCCTGGGAAAGAGGACGTACTCGGTAAATATTTGCAGAACGAAATTTGTTAAAAAGAGAGGGATTAATTTAAGATAGGTTGGGAAGGCCTTAGGAAGGGTAAGGGATCTGAGGCAGGGCCTTAAAAGGATGGGGGTTGAGAGTGAAAAAGGAAATTCTTGGTGGGGTGAGGTGGAGAGGCTGCCAGGTTGGACCTGAACAGAACAGGAAAGGTAGGTTGGGATGTTTGTTGAGATATGTACTCCTGCTTTTCCCCAGGTGCTTGGACGCAAGGATATATAGAAACAAACAGGAAATCCATATGGACTTGGAAGTGGGGGAGTGGGTGGTATTGGATTTGGTGGTGGGTGGGGTCTGATTGTTAAGCCTAGTAGGGCTCTAAGGAGGAGGTGGCTGTGGTGGCTGAGCTTTAGGATGTTGATAGCACCAGTGTGTTTAGAGGAAGCAGTTCTGGGCTTAGAGGTGGGAGCTCCCCCTTCTCTTGTTCTTTCTGCCTGTCACTATTGGCCTTCCAGGTGGGAGCTGAATGCCATGACCACCAACAGCAATATCAGTCGCCCCATCGTCTCCTCCCATGGGTAGGAGGAAGTTTCTGTGGCCTCCCCTCCTGAGCCTGCTGTCATCTTCACTCCCCCTGCCTGTCTCACCTGCCTGCCCCTTTGGACCCCAGACTCCATATACCTCCATGTGGAGTTGTTGGACTAGAGGTGTTTTCTGTGCTGTGAACTCAGTGGGGAGCTGTGTTGGGAGAGGCTAGGTCCCTCCCACTTTGGGCCAAAGGCCCCATCCCCTTGGTGCTTTGTCCCATTCACACCCCTCCAACTGCTCCTGGGCTTCTGCTCTGCCCTAGGCCAGCCAGGCCCTGCTGGGAAGGGAAGGGAATGGAATGGGGAGAAGGGAGAAGCAAGCAGTGTCTGAGCCTCAGGAGCTTCCCCTCACTCCCCTTCCCGCCCTCTCTGCCTGCTTGAGCCTGGAGCATTGACTGGGAGCTGAGAGGAGTTGCAGCTGTTGGCATGAAACCTCCTCTCCCCCATCTAGGGAGGTGGGGACCAGCAGATTATCCCATCCTTCCTTGGTGGAGCTGTTGCTGTACCCAGAAGTTCAGCCAGCTCAGATTTTATAAAAATTAATTTAAAACCTCAAAAGGTGTGATCTGTTTTTGTGGGCTACAATGGGAATGTCAGGAATTTGCAATGGTAACAGGGTGCTGAGAAGGGGCACCCCTGAGGTTCTAGTTTAGCCAAGAGCCCTAGGAAAATCAAATGCCCCATGACACGGCAGAAGACTGCAACGTTGTCCCCGGAGTGGCTCTCTGGCCTAGGACACCGCCGCGGCGGACCTCCTGCCCTACCTAGTCTCTCCCAGTCCCGCTTCCTGAGATGCCCTGTTCTCCGTGTTTTCCGTTCATCGTAATCTTGTTGAAACGGCCACCTGGACGTCCCGGAAGAGGCGGGTCCTGGGCCACCGTGAGCGGAAGTAGCGCCATTTGTCTTCCCTGCGGTACAAAGTAGATGTCGACAGCGAGCCCACGAGTGCGGGTCGCAGCCCAATCTCCCAGCAGGGCCCGATGCGGCGGGCAGGACACCGGGGACCTGGAGTCCGGGGCCGCGATCGGCGACCTGCGGAAGGGTGAGGGCTTGAGAACTTGGGGCAAGGGGCGGGCACGCAAGGGAGGGGGAACTGCAGGGGGGGCGGGCGCCGGCCTTTCTTATAGTCTTAAGGTTTCGAGCCTGCAAACGGACAGTTACGGTTAGACTAAGCTTTCCTAAAGAGGCACATTTTGGGAGCGCCCCCAAGGCAGTGGGAGCGGGAGCGGTTGCTACCTTAAAGGACAACCTGAGTAACTTGGAGGCCGAGTGAGAATTTTCTGCGAGGAGAAAAGGCAAGTGCAAAACAGGAAAGAGCATGGGTTGCTGGGGAAGGGTGAGTGAATTGGTATTGGACAAATTTCACCAAGATTTATTGAGTTTCTACCATGTAGCATAGTGCCTAAGGCACTTGACTGCTTAACCAGAAGGCTGGCGGTACAAACCCACCAGCCACTTCTCGGAAGGAAGGTTGGGCAATCTACTTCCGTAGTGATACAGCTTCGGAAACCCAAGGAGGGGTCGCTATGAGTCGTCTGACTCCACGGCACATAACAACAACTATAAGCAGGCAAACTTTCAGCCTTTGGCCCAGTGGTTGGAGATAAAGTAGGTGGATAAAGCAGTCAAAAACTTTTGCCACTCTTGGAGCTTGCTTTTTAGAAAGGGCATTATTGGGGGAAAAAAAAGCAAATAAATTACTATATTAAAAGGTGATGAAGCACTGAATTGCACACTTTACAAGGGTGAAATTTACAGGCTGTGAATTGTATGTAAGTTTTAAAAGTTAATAAAACTGAAGGAAAATAGAGCTGGAGAGTGGTTGAAATTTTAAATTGGATTGCCAGGGAGCTTCTCACTGAGAAGGTGGTATTGGAACAGAGGCTTGAAGGAGGTGAGTGAGCCAACAATGCCTGTATCTGGGGGGGCATGTTCCAAGCAGAGGGAACATCAAATGCAGGGGAACTGAGGCAGAAGCATACTTTCCCACTCAGGAACTGCCGGAAGGCCGGCAGACTGGAGAGGAGCAAGGAGGAAATTAGGAGGAGATATTACAGGGGACCAGGTCATATGGGAACTTTCAGGCTGTCGTAAAGTCTATGGTTTGCTCTTGAGATGGAAGCTGTTGGGAGTTGTGAGTTAAGAAGTGACATTAATTCAAATACAGTGTTTGGAAACATGGTGGGAGTGATGACATCTGCATTTTAGGTGCCAGTCCAGGCTGAAGGGAGCCCTGGTAGTACAGTGGTTAAAGCACTCTGCTGCCAATGGAGAGATTGGCACTTTGAACCCACTAGCTGCTCCATGGGATAAAGATACGACAGTCTGCTTCTGTAAAAATTTAGCAGCCTTAGAAACCATATGAGGCAGATCTCCGTGTTACAGGGTCATTGTGAGATGGAATCAACTCAACTGCAGTAAGTGAGTTCTCAGGTGGAAGAGGGTGAGACTGGCAGATGGAAGACCAGGTAGGAAGTTAGAACACTGAGATGAGAGATGCTAAGAGTATGAACCAGAACAGTGGCAATGATAACTAAGTGAGGGAGGTTGAGGCCCTTGTGGGGAAACGTGAGGTAAAGAAGAGAGGACTATGACTTGGTGCGTCTGCAGTCTTATATCTTCCTTAGCAAGATGAGGCCCCAGGTAGCTGTAGCAGTTGAGCTGGGTGTCAGTAGTGGTTAAGGCATTTGGCTGCTAGCCAAAAGGTTGGTGGTTCAACCCCACTAGCTGCTCTGAGGAAGAAAGATGAGGCAGTCTCCTCCCATAAAGATTTACAGCCTTGGAAATCCAAGTTGGAATCGATTCGATGCCAGTGGGTCTGGTATTAACACCATTACAACCTGTGTCACCTGGGACTTACAATTGGCTTAATGGGTTTATTGAAAGTTACCTAAGAAATAGGGTTGGGATGATGGCTGCAGCTGTGGGAGAGGCTGAGTTGTATGTCTCTCCCAACCCCTTCTTCCCTAGGCACATCCAACATGTCATTTGAGGAGCTTTTGGAATTGCAGAGCCAAGTGGGGACCAAGAAGTACAAACAGTTGGTATCTGGAAACAGTACTAAGAAGCAAGATTCTAGACCACCTGTCCAGAATACATGTGTTGCAGATAAGCACAGGTGAGGAACAAGGCCTGTCCTAGGAGTTGGAGGGTATCTGGCACCTTGAGCAGGTGTCTGCTTTCTTGGGTGGCAGGTGGGAGGCCTGTGACCAAGACTGGCATCTCCTTGACCTGTCTTAATTTCTCCCTAGGCCTCTGGAAATGTCGGCCAAGGCCCGAGTGCCATTTTTGTGTCAAGTTGTCCCCATCAGTAAGAAGGTAAAGAAAAAAACAGGGAGCAGTTTCTCAGTGAAAGGAGAGTGAAGGATTGTGTTTTATATTCCCTTGCTTCTCTCCAAAGGTGGCCCGGGACCCCCGCTTTGATGATCTATCAGGAGAATATAATCCCGAGGTGTTTGACAAAACATATCAGTTTCTGAATGATATCCGAGCCAAAGAGAAGGAGGTGTGCACCATGGATGGATTGTGGAGGTTTTTAGGAGTGGGAAACTAGGGCACAGGCTAGAGTTGGGCAGAGGGGAGCAGGTAACACTGTTACGTGGGTGTATTTAGCACTTGAATTTAGTTCTTAAGTTTAAACCTTGATGCATCAATTTACTAGCTTTGTGATCATTGGCAAGTTAATCTCTCCATGTTTCAGTTTTCTAATCATCAAAAGGAATAATTACCCTATCTTACAGTGTTAGAGTTAACATATGTGAACCTCTTATAATAAAGCTTGGCACCAAATTTCAACCAACACTCACAGAATGCTAACTATCATTCATTTTCTGATGAGAAGATTGTGAAAAAACAATTGAAGAAGCATCGTTCAGGGGAAGAGCATGACAAACTGCAGCTGCTGCTTCAGCGGATGGTGAGTGCTTAACTGACTGCAGGTGGGTGGTGAGAGCTGTCCAAGAGATGATTCATAAGCCCCCCTGTTCACCCATCTCATTTTCTCTCATCTTTCCTCCTCAGGAGCAGCAAGAAACGGCACAGAAGAATCGGAAGCAGCAGCAGGAGCTACGCCTAGCCCTGAAGCGTGAGCAGCGGGCTCAGGCCCAGCAGGGTCATCGACCGTATTTCCTGAAAAAATGTGAGTGGGGCACACCATTGCCTGCTAGTTACAGGGGCTGGGGTGGAGTGACCATAGTGCAAAATACTGTGTTGAGGTTCAAGTGAGCTCCCTAAGGAAGCATGCAGGCTGGATCCCATGGTAACTTGGAAGAAGGCAGAAATACTAGGGAAGAGTTACTTGTAACTAGTCTTATATCCCTAATTAGATTATAGGCAGGGGATTGTTGCTTTTATCTCTGTACCACCCCTCATATGTGCAGGGCCTGGCACATAGGAGGTCACAGTTGGTTGAGTCAAGTAAGACTGGAACAGGGCTTTCAACTGGTTCCTTCTGGTTTGACCCACTGCTGAGAATTTGCCTTTCCACCCCAGATACACTGAATCAGAATCTACATTTTAATAAGATCCCCAGGTGATTCTTAAAGATTTTATTAAAATGTAGATAGTGATTTAGTGTATCTGGGGTTAGAAGGCAAATTCTCAGCAAGGTGGTCAACCATAGTGAATGGGATTGAAGCCCTGGCCTGAAATCATAGAAAAAGTCTACTTGCTTCCACATGTTTCCCAGCATTGTGGTTGAAAGTTACTGATGTGGACAAAGGGAAAGAGTGGGAGGCTTCCTCTTTTGGTCACCAGTTTTCTTTCTTCTTGTTTTCTAGCCGAGCAGCGTCAGTTGGCCCTAGCTGAGAAGTTCAAGGAGCTGAAACGCAGCAAGAAGCTTGAGAGCTTCTTGAGTCGAAAGAGGCGCCGAAATGCAGGCAAGGACAGGCGACATCTCCCCTTGAGCAAAGAGTAGTAGGGAACTGTTTTCAGCTCTACCACTGCCCCACTGAGACGTAGATCTGTGGGGACAACCTTGGGCTTGGCCTGTTCTGCTGGCCGAGGGCAGGATCACAGCTGCACTTGAACTAGGTTGACTCAGAGAGGACTAGAGGGTTCTTGGATTGCCCTGAGGGCTGGGCAGGAAAAACCACTTAGGCACCTTCCGTGCCACACTGCCTCTGCTTGGAACTGGTTCATCGTGTCCTCTTCCCACCCTTGCCTTAAGTTGATGACTCTGGTACAGAAGGGGCCAGTAAGGCCACAGAGTCTACTAATGGCTCCCAGGGCTGGGACTATATGCAAAAATTACTTCGTAAACAGTCTTAACATCCTTGTCACTCATCTTTTTATTCTGCTTTTTCTCGTGGGTAGCTTAGAATTACTGTTTTAGTGGGTCATGTGTGGGAGTAGTAATAAAGCCCAAGGCTCCTACAAAGTAGGAAGCCAGATCAGAGACCCTCCTAATTAAATCTGAGCCCCCAAAAGATAGCATTGTTTAAAGGATAAACCAATCCCACAAAGGAAAACAAGGGGAGATAGGGAGTGGAGACAAAACATTGCCTGTAGTATGCAACCACAGCAGGCCCCTGTACCATTTGGACTGGAATTCATATTCCCAGTATGACATGTAAGTCCTTTGAGCTGGTAATTCAGTCTGTTACAAGACACTGTTGACCTCTGTATACTTTTAAACTATTACTTCTCCTCTCAAGCAGGACCCAGAGTGGACACTGAAAAAACTCTGGGCTTTAGGCTTTTACTTACTTAATTGGTAATAGCTTTATTGAAATGTAATTCACATACCATAAAATTCACCCATTTAAAGTGTACAATTAAGTGTTTTTTAGTATATTGAGAGCTGTGTGTAACCATCACCACAGTCAGTTTGGAACATTTTCATCACCCTAAAAAACCTTGTATCCATTAGCAGTCATACTCTATTCTCTCCCACCCAACCCCTTTCCCCCCCTGCCCTAGGCAACCAGTTCTGTTTTTGTGTATTTTGATTCTACCATATGAACAGGATCAATGTGTGCCTTAGAATTTTTGGCTATTTCGTCTTGACAAGCCAAGGTGTAGGGACATGAAGAGTGTCCCTGTGAGCCTTGCATAGGGGTCAGGGTAGCAAACTTCTGTCCCCCGTGTCCTCTTAGAAATGAAGCCAAGTGTTTGCTCTCCAGGGATGGAAAGTTCTGAGAGCAGAGAATGGCTTAGGTCTTTACTGACACTGGTGAGAGAGGGTGGGCCGAGGCTGAAGTTAGAACTACTCCCCTGGATGTGGGCAAAGCAAGGCAAGACTTGAGGTGGGGCGAGACTGCTAGAGGGCAGGCGACGACTGGGAGCGGTCCTGCAGGCTAGAACATGCAGTCTGTCGGGGCCAATGCTGGGGTGCTTTTCCGTAAAGAACTGCTGGAGGCTTAACTGCAGATGAGCAGGGAGCACCCCAGTTGGGGGTGAGGATTAAGGGCCAGGGTGATAGAGCAGAATGAACGAGGGCTTGGGCCAATGCAGCGAGTTCCAAGACAGGTGGCCTCCTACTTAGCCCATGCTGGAGCCTTTGGGGGCAGCAACAACTTGGGGTGGCAGTAGAGACAGTCCCATGCTCTGCCCATACAGGCAGTGCAGGCTGGCCTGGCGGCTAGAGCATCCCTTAGGGGGCTCCTCTGGGTTTCTGGTGGGAAAGGATAGGTTCAAAAAGAATACGAAAGCCCAGAGAAGGGCAAAAGGCTTCAGCACCTGAGAGTAGTTCAAGAGTAAGATCATGGCCTGGGGCAATAAAAGCCACCATGATTTCTGGCACAAAGGTGGAGAGGCATTCAGGTGATAAACCAGCAGCCCCAGTGTGCCCTGGGGCCAACAAGTGTGTGCTGTGAGCCACCAACAAACAGCATGTTGGGCCACCATACTGCAAAACAGGTGCTTTCTGCTCCCTGACCTGGTGCCTTATGTCCTCTGTCTTGTTGCTTTGTCTTTGGCACCCTGACTCTCCCAGGCCCTGGCCTTTTTCCATTAAGAGCCTGTTCTGAATCTCAAGCTTTGAAGTCCTAGCTGGCAGCCAGTCTCCTCCTGGCCTCTGCGGCCCCCTCACCATCTGACTTCTTTACTCCTTTTCCCGCTTCTGCAGCATTCTCTAGGCCAAATCTCAGCTGCAGGAACCAGGGACTTGGGATGCCTAGGTCACGTCTTCCCTCCCCTAATGGCCCTGGCCAAGACACAGAGCTCCACTTGGGCGCTAGACCCCTAGTCTGCCCTGCCTTGCCCCTGTGTGGGTGGGGCTGGGGGAGCCCATCATAGCAGCTCAGGGTAGACCTCCCCTAGAACAGCAGTACATGCCTCTTGTTAGAACTCTGATGACCAGACACGGTGAGGCAAAGGAGTGGGAAAGAGGTAATGTGGAGGAGCTTGTGGGAGGAAGGAATAATAGAGCAGGTGTTCTCCCAGGCGTGCTTGCAACCCAGCTCCTACACTGCCCAGGAGAATACACAGCTGCTGTGTGCTTAGAGCAGCTGCAAGCCTTTTTTTGAACTTGTGGTAAAAACCTATGTAACTCAACATTTGCCAATTCAGCATTTTTTACATGCACAATTTGGTGACACTGATTACATTAATCATGATGTGCAACCATCACCTGTATGTGCTGCCAAATTTTGCCATCACTATAAACAGAAACTTAATGCTTCCTAAATAGTGAGTTTCACTCCCTCCTGCCCCTGGTAACCACTAATAAACTTTGGTCTGTATGCATTTGCCTGTTCTAAATATTTCAAGTAAGTAGGATAATGTGGTATTTGTCCTTCAGTGACTGACGTTCATTTTCCTTTCCTTGTGTCAGCTTTACTCAGAGGTTCCAGTGTACTGCACTCACTCTGGGAGAGGTAGGGACTCCTGTTAGCAAAGCCTTCACCCTCTCAAATGCTGCTATTCCTATTACTTGTCAAAGTCCCAAAGACTCTAGCCCAACTCTACAAACAAGCAAAATGAATTCCTGCTTGGTAATCTGACCAAGTCACAAGCTGGCCAGCGAGGGGCTGGGGTAGGCATGGAGCCTCAGCTCCAGCCTGCCATGTGAAACCACTTCGATGGTATACCCTCCAAGAAGGGGCTGGGGGGGGGGTCTATCCCTGTCCACTCAATCCCCCTGCCTAGAGACTGGTGGTGAAGTCACACCTGACTCCCTCTACCTCTTCCCACCTGACCATCCTCATGTTAACAGTGATGTGGAATGTCAAGAGATGGTCTCAGAGTGAGAGCTCCCCCCCCTCAGCCAGGAAAATACCCCCACCACAACTTCTCTGATCACTGCAGTCACCAAACACATACAGGCTATGTGATCAAACTCCTGCATTTTATTTCTGTAGGAAGGCCCTGCTCCACCTGCCCCTGACCGTATCTCTAGAGCTACCGGAAGGTAGAGAAGGTCTGGGTGCCAGTGCCGGAGGCATAGGGCACTCCCCGAGAGCGAATCTGCAGGGTATGGAAGGTGAGGGGGGGGTTGGGGCCCGAGGAGCCTGGGTTCAGGGACTCGGTGTGAGGCTCCATCACTGTCACAGGGACTGCATAAGACAGCACCTGGGGCCGGTCATCATGGCGTCTCACTGTGCCCTTGCCCAGGAGGTGCAGGATGCAGGAGAGGACGTCTGTACTGCTGCAGGCAGACCCCTGGCCCAGGCTGCTGACCAAACCCCGGGGAGGACACGGGCCCTTCTGCCAAGCTTCCAGTACCTGGCATGGGAAAAGAAAGAGGAAATAGTAGGTCAGAGACACCCAGTTTATCTCATCTCTAGCTCCCACTCCATCTACTAAAAGCTGTCAGGGCAGGAAGTCCTGTGGACATGAGATGCACCCCTACTTCCCTCCTCACTCATCTGCAGGCTCTGTAGTGAACCAGTGGCTTCCAACATGGACCTTTCTGTGGACAGTCCTCCCCTAAATCCCCCTTGCCCACTGTGCCCACCCTCACCTACCAGGCAGACAAGCTGATCAATATGCAGCCCCTCGTCCCCATGGGCTTTGAGGATTCGCACAATGAGGCAGTTCAAAAGGTTCCGTCTCTTCTCCAAGTTTTGGCCCTCTTCATCCTCTGCTTTCAGGTATGTCTTGGGTGGGATGAGCCACACATTGCCCCTCCTTGGCCTGGGATCATCACTGTCATCACGAATCTTGAGCACCCCTGAAAGAAATGCTTATCACTCTGGGTGGGAGGCCCAGCCGGCTCAGCAGAGGCCTCCCTGGCCCTAAAAGCATACCTCCTGGTGCGTCCTTTTGCTCGTGAAGGTCCAAGGGACCTCTTGAAGAGGTGAGAGGCCCAATGGCTGGATTTAGCATGTCTGAAGAGAGCCCAGAGAGCTCTAGCAGACTGTCCACAGAGATGGCCTTAGGAGAAGACAAAGGAAGAGGAAAGGATTATGAGAATGATGAAAGGGAGAAAACGTTCAGGGACGGAAAGTGAGGGGCAAGGTGAGAGCAGAGGCATACAGGGGCTGGGGCACCTTCAGATCATTGAGGTACAGCAGCAGCCACATCTGCACGGTGGATACGTGCAGGGTCTGGTCCCCAAACTGCAGCTCAGCCCGGCCCAGCCACGTCCACTGCAGCCGTCTTTGTGGGCATTGCTCCAAGCCAGGGTGGCTCTGGCCTGGGGAAGTGTCAGGCAGAGAAGGGGGAGGCAGAAAGTAGTGGAAAGGCTGGGTGAGGGGCTGGAGTATACATCAGTGGTCAAGGTTTTGCTCCCAGTAGTGTCTGCAGGTCCTCAGCACTATAGTTCCTGGTCTGAGCTTCTAGAGCTCAGCTTCTCTGGCAAGCCATGGGTATTTGTGAGCCCACTCTGTTCTTGTTCCTATGCTGGGCAAGCTCTGATCAGTGAGTTCCCCATATTTTAGGAAACAAAACCATGAAGTGAGACCAGAATATCCCAGAGAGGAGAAACGATGTCTCCCTGTTGTTTGAGAGATCATTGAGGGCAGGGTCTGAGTC